ACACCCACTTCACCCCTGCCCTCTGGGGTGGCCAGCCTTCCAGCTCCGCCAGTTTCTCTTTGACAGATCTTGTTTTTCAAGTCCAGTAGGTCCCAAACGGTTGACTCATTGCTTAACAAAGTCATTATTTACCCCCCGTGAAGGCCATAGATCTGCTTTCAGCACTTCCTGTCATTTTTTAGAAATGTATTGAATGTCTTAGGTTGTTCTAGCAAAGGATTTCGGATTTTCTAAACATAAAGGGTTTGAAGTCCCTTCTGCCTGGAAAATAGCTAACTGTGGCCCTAGAGCATTCAGGAATAATCTTATAAACGTAGCCTGTGTTATTGGGGTAAAGAGTGCTAAGTAGCATCACTATGGGAATGAAGACAGGCACAGTGGGAAGTGTGGACCCCCCGGTGGAGGGGAGTGATGACAGGAAGGGGAGAAAAACAGGGTATTCCTTGGGTGCGATTCAAATGTTATTCTGTGTCCAGAGGGCAAGTGTAGCAGGTGGAATGTTAATAGAGCTCAGAACTCCTGTGGCTTCCATTCTTTGATGAGTGGGATGAGAACAAAAACATTAGCCAGTTATATTTTCCCTACTGAGTTCAGCACAGCAATGAATCTACGTAGTGTGGGCCTGCGGTTCGTATCATTTGGGACATCTCTTTAAGAAAACACTTAGCAAATTAATGGGGCTTCCCTGGTGGTGCAGTGGTTAAGAATCCACCTGCCAATGCAGGGGACACGGGTTCGAGCCCTGGTCCGGGAAGATCCCACATGCTGCGGAGCAACTAAGCCCCTGTGCCACAACTACTGAGCCCACAAGCCACAATTACTGAAGCCCATGCACCCAGAGCCCGTGCTCCACAGCAAGAGAAGCCACTGCAATGAGAAGCCCGCACACCACAACAAGGAGTAGCCCCTGCTCGCCCCAACTAGAGAAAGCCCAGCAACAAAGACCCAATGCAGCCAAAATAAATAAATAAATAAACAAATAAAATGAATTAAAAAAAATTTAAACAACAAAATTAGTTTGAAAGCAGACAAATTCACTGAGTTGTCACAAAATCACTCAGAGGCCACATGAGTTATCAGTGCTTGAACTAGTGGTTGGAAACATGCATTTTCAACCAATTTATTTTGGGCCCATTTACCTTGCTCCAAAGATAAAATTAAAATTCATAAAAACATTGCCAGAGGCACACCAGGACACATCTGAAACAAGACGATGCCGAAAGAAGCAAGATACTCCGTGATGAATCGCCCCCAAATTAGCAATAAGCCCCTAGAAAATTCCAAAATTTGAACAAAGCTACTAAAGCATAAATTATTTGAGGAAAACAGCATAAAAGTTATAAGGGAGTAAAAAATGAATGACTGAAAATATTTCTTTTTACCAATTAATCATTTTGGGGTTTATTATTTATTTACTTATTTTCTTTAAGTAAATTCTGTTCTCTGTCCAGTGCTCATTGAGGAGAAAGGGAAGAAATGGCAGAAGCAGAGTGGAGAGTTCGAGACAGGGACAGAGATAGGGGTTGGGGGAGAGACAGAGAGAGAAGAGGAAACGCAAAAGGCCGAAGAAAGATGTATACCATTTGGAAAGTGAAGCAAAAATTTATGAGAAATTCCACACACATACCAACAGGCACACACAAACTTATTTGATAATAGAAGCCAGGTCTCATGGGGCTACAGATGGATTTTAGTTTTTTTAATTAATTATGTATTTATTTTTGGCTGCTTTGGGTCTTCGTTGCTGCACACAGGCTTCAGTAGTTGTGGCACGTGGGCTCTAGAGCGCAAGCTCAGTAGTTGTGGCGCATGGGCTTAGTTGCTCTGAACGATCTTCCCAGACCAGGGCTCGAACCCGTGTCCCCTGCATTGGCAGGCAGATTCTTAACCACTGTGCCACCAGGGAAGTCCCACAGATGGATTTTTCTTTCCATTTTTCACCTGGCATTTAATGGAAACAGCTGTCTGGCCTGCTGGCAGATGCCCTCCTGGTACCTGTCCCACGAAGTTCCTGGGCATGAACTGTTCTCACACAACACAGGCCCAGGGCAGTCGGGGGGCAGCTGCTGACCCCAGCGTGTCTGGCCATGAAATTGAACAACCAGCAGCTCGCTGCTGCCCCAGGAGAGCTAGGATTTACTCCCGAAGGTGTCTTCTTGCCCCACTTTACACACAGCCACTTCCCCTGTTAAAAGGATAGGCTAGCAGAGCACAAGTGACAGTGGCAGGACCGCGTTTCTATCTCCTAGCGTTTTACAAATAGACTCAGAACTGGCAAAGGGGACTCTGGAGCTGGAAGGCCTGTTGTGAGTCTGTCGCAGTGCTGCAGGTGGGAGACCAGGAGAGCCTCAGCTGCGGCAGTGGCTCTGGGGAGATTTAAAACACATGAAGGGTGCAAAACTAGCAGAGCTTGTGACAGCAACCAGGGGACAAATTGAAAAAGCTGTTTAGATATTTAGCTTCTCAGGTATCTATTGCTGGATGACAAGCCATGGAGAACAGTCTGAAGATGAAGGAACTTGCTGACTTGATACAGATGCTATAAGGAAAGCCCATTTTACAGAAACAGACCCACAGACACAGAAAACAAACTTATGGTTACCAAAGGGGCAAGGCGGGGAGAGACAAATTAGGAGTTTGGGATTAGCAGGTACAAACCACTATATATAAAATAGATAAACAACAAGGTCCTATTGTATAGTACAGGGACTATATTCAATATCCTGTATAAACCATAATGGAGAAGAATATGAAAGAGAATACTTACACATATGAATAACTGAATCACTTTTTCTATGCCAGAAATGAACACAACATTGTAAATCTAGTATACTTCAAAAAAAAAGAGAAAAGAAAGCCAGTTTTTTGTTTTTGTTCTTTTAATAAATTTATTTATTTTTGGCTGCGTTGGGTCTTCGTTGCTGCGCGCGGGCTTTCTCTAGTTGCGGCGAGTGGGGGCTACTCTTCTGTTGAGGGAAATGCATGGGACTTTCAAAAAAATTCTGGGGGGTGATTATTTTATTGCTCAGGTGTCTCCCCCAGCTCCTTCCCTTTATTTATAATAAAGAAATAATATTTATTTATTTCATTTTTTTCTTTTGGGCTTCAGAGAGAACAGGTCTCCTGAAGACTGAGGCCTAGACCCTACGCGGTGCTCCTCTATCCTCTCTCTGAAATTAGGGTAAATTACAGGATAAGCCACTTCTCTTTCTATCCCGCACACTTGAGCCACAAGAAGGAGCTAAAGAGTGCCTGAGTCTCATCCCGAGATGGAGGAAGTAAGGCATCGCCACCTGAGGGGCTTCGCCATGGACGTGGTATTAACTGGCAAAATCGGGAACAGAATTCAGTCAGATATTTGAAAGAACATTTGCAAAAGAAGGTTATAAAAACAATTTCTCAGTGTATCTTGTGGAAATGATTTTTTAAAAAATTACATTGGCCATCTGTATTTAGATGAATTGGTTTGAGTGTAATAGTTATATTATAAATGGCAATACTTAGTATGCTAATATTATATGGATCATGAAAAAAATGTTCTCTGAGATAATAAATAAGTAAATAAATATAAAAACAGTTTCTCGGGCTTCCCTGGTGGCGCAGTGGTTGAGAGTCTGCCTGCCGATGCAGGGGACACGGGTTCGTGCCCCAGTCCGGGAAGATCCCACGTGCCGCGGAGCGGCTGGGTCCGTGAGCCATGGCCGCTGGGCCCGTGAGCCATGGCCGCTGGGCCTGCGCGTCCAAAGCCTGTGCTCCGCAACGGGAGAGGCCACAACAGTGAGAGGCCCGCGTACCGCAAAAAAAACAACCAAAAAACAAAACAAAAAACCCCAACAGTTTCTCTTTTTCCACCAAGAGCTCTATCCCCTGAGTCTATATTCCTCTGGGACGCCAAAAAGAGCAGGACCCAATTCACTAGTTCCACTCGGCATGAGTTCCTCGTCCTCCGTTGGCCAGACCTTGCCTTCCCCAGCAGGAGGTGGATTCTCGGTCTGTCTCACCGGGAGCCACGGAATCTTGGCTTCCTCAGATGCTGCTGTTCTGACTTCACCCACATCCTCAGCCTTCTCATCCCCAGCACACTTCCCACTGCAGTCCCTCGACAGTCGGAAAGTCCACTGGTCACACAAATGTGAGTGTTCTGGTTCCTTCATAATTAATAAATTGGCTTTCCACCTTTCGGATCAATCTTCTGAGCTTAGTTAATATATACCTGCTTCTAAGAGACAAGTGGGGAAATTAAATATCCGAGCCTGCAGGCGGAAGGCGGGGCCTGGCAGAGCGCCGAGCTGCGGAGGGCCTCCGCGTGAGGTCTGTGCGGAAGCACCAGCCGGTCTTCGAGACACCGCTTCAAGGACAGATGCAGGAGGGCAGTTTAAATTCTTCCGCATGCTTATGCTTTCTGTTTACAGGTGCACGTTGTTCCGTCCGCAGCGCAAATTCCCCACAGGCAGTAATCGGCCCTAATGGATCTTGTAGATCTTTGCACAATGTTGAGTGCAAGATACGAGCTTAAATTCTCACTGAGGGGGAATGACTGTTCACTGGAGACCAAGTTTTGTGTTTCTAGTTGTTCTGACCCAAGAAATGCAGTGTTCACGTGGCCTGGCAGATGCAGACAACAGCCAAAGAGGACCTTCGGTCTGTGGCTCTGGTGGCTTTGGTCCTCCATCAACACCGGCCTTTTATGGAGCACTTCCTGTGTGCTCAGCTCAGAGTTTATCTCAGTTAAGTGGTGGAGCTGGGATGTTGATGATGGGCTGATAAGGGGAGCTGAGCTTAGAAGGCAGTAGCCACGGCCCCGTTCCGTAGCATCTAGACAGAAGCGTCACACGGTCAAGTGTAATACGGGAAGTAAGATACCCACGGCTTTTTGTTGTTGTTGTTCTCTCAGTTTGGGAACTCCACTTATGTGTGTATTTTTAAAAAGTTGAATAACATGTGATTACCACGCACGCATTAAACAATAGGAAACGTCTAACCACGGTCGCTGTGCTCACCTGTCTCCTGTGAATATCCTCCCCCGTCAGGACAAAGATAGCAGGTCATTCTTCCAATGGCAGCACGGCATTCAGGGGGCTTGGGGTCCTTGGCTGTAGGCACAGTGGACTCTCCTGTCCGGAGCTCTGCTTCCCCTTCCTTTATCGTTGATCACGCTGCCTGAATGTAGGAATATCACAGGGTCAGAGGCCCACGTGTGCTGATAGGCATCTGAGGCTTTGGCTGTAGGTTTTGTTACCCCCAGACCTGGGTTCACCTCTTGGTGGGTGTCAAGCCAAAACACACGACCAAGCCAAAGATCGGGAGAATAAAGGATTGATTACTGGCAGCAAGGAAAGAGAACACGGGGAATCTTATCTAAGGCGGTGTCTCCCGCCAACAGCAAAATTGGGGAAGTTTTCAGCTAAGGGTCCATGCATGTTCATGAAGGGGCTGAGGCCTAGACGGAGGCCAAGCTTTAGCTGATTGAAGTCACCAGGGTCAGAAAAGGTCAAGCTCATCACCCCTTAGGTTCCAGTTGATCGGGTGGTTGAGCTTCAGGCTAATCCTTACCATTGAAACAGGACTGGGTGTATTTACACCTGCTATATTATCCTTGCTATTGTTACTGCTCTTGCCTGGTAATAGCCTTTTGTTCTGACATTCTTTTGTTTCCTTAAGATCATTAATTACCGAGACCTGTTCAAGGGCAAGCATTGTGGCCAGGCTTAGATCACAGAATGGCTTAGGCCCAAAATGGCTTCTCTTATGTCAAGAAAGCCATGTCGGGTTCCTTTTCTCCAGGGACCCCCTACCCTGTGTGCTCACAGTTATGAGTTCAAGGGTGGCCTGCTGGCCCAGAAGCCTGGGTCATAGTGTGCTGTTTCCAGCTGACAGGGGCAACCGTCTGCCCTCGGTGACTGCAGATCAATGAATTCATAGTTCAGGGGCCTTGTCATCCTCCCTTTTTACTTGTTTCCTACTTCCAGTTATTTTCGTTTCTTAGTTTGGCCCCTGCTCCCCACAGGCCCTGCGAACTCCTTCCCAAATCCTGAGGCTCAGTGGCCCACGGAGAGTTTTATTTTTTGAGTGGGCAGCTGATCTAGCCTCCACCTAAAACTGAATTTGAAATCTTCCCAGGGTTGGGGGTCTGAGTAATCTAAACACAAAGTGAGACAGAAGGTTTTATCTTAATCCATTTTCAGTAAGCGCATTAGTAAATATTCAGCTTTTCAGACACACATCGGCAGAGCCCAGGCAAGCCCAGTGATAAGACATTTTCGGATGTTAATTATGTTTCCTTTTCACTGAAACTCTCACAAGCAAATTCTGTGAGATCAGATGGAATTTTCAGTAGACTTTTCCAGCCAATTTTGTCATGTTGAAAAGCATAATGATTTTCAGCTTGCGTTAAAGCTCCAGTGAGATAATTACCTCTCACTGACAAGGTCAATGGACAGTTCAGGATCTGTTCATTTAATTCTAAGACAATTTCAGCTGCTAATACTGAGCTCCAAAGGCAATGATAACAAAGGGGTATCCTTTGTATAGGAAAGTACAGGTTTCTTTCAGTGTAATGAAGTCTCCATGGCCACAATCCTCATCCTTACCCAAACCCTTCAACTCACCATTTACCCTGGAGGCAAAGGACTGTTGGAAGAAACTGATTGTCACGTTTCATTCCCTTGCATGTTGGAGGGAAAGGAAGGACAGATAGGACTGCCATGGACTTGGCCTTACCTGGTCCATGTTCTCAGACTGATGCTGAAAACTCGGCCTCTGTGCACCAGTGCTGAATCACATCTCGGAGACAGAGTTTTGGGTGAAGCAGAAAAGAACAGCCTTACTGCTTTGCTAGGCAAAGCGGGATACAGTGGGCTCGTGCCCCACAGTACCTCTGTGTCCCAAACTTGGAGGATTTGGTGAGGAGTTTTATAGCAATGTTTCAAAGGCGGAGCTGCTACTAAGGATCCGGGTGTGTGCAGGGCCTGCATTTTTTTTTTTTTTGCGGTACGCGGGCCTCTCCCTGCTGTGGCCTCTCCCGTTGCGGAGCACCGGCTCCGGACGCGCAGGCCCAGCGGCCATGGCTCACGGGCCCAGCCGCTCCTTGGCATGTGGGATCCTCCCGGACCAGGGCACGAACCCGCGTCCCCTGCATCGGCAGGCGGACTCTCAACCACTGCGCCACCAGGGAAGCCCCAGGGCCTGCATTTTTTAAATCTGGCCTCAGGTGGTCTCCGGATGAGCTTCTCTGGTTCTCGAGGAATAAAGAACGCTTCATCAAGTAGTTAACATCTTCCATTTGTTGGGGGTTTTAGTTCTGCAGAAGAGTGCACAGATACTCTTATGTGTATCCCTTGAGGGGGAACCAGGACCTGCCCCAAGGCTGCGCTATTGTTTCTTGACTGCTTCTCCCTTGTCTCTGCAACCCCTCCCTTCCCTGATTAGCAACTGTTTGAATGTGCCCTTGGGACTCAGGGAAGGTCACGGAGGCTGGAGTCTGTTCCCTACAAACAAGAAATGGACACAGAAAGGCTTCCATGTCCAGGAGCCCCACAGGGTCCTGCTCAGTTTCAAGACCTACACCCAGAGAGCTGATCAGGCCCTGGGAGGAGCAGGCATGTTGAAGACCAGCGGGCATCCACTGGCCCCCACCAACGCCGCCCCAGTGTGATGTAACAGCTGCTGCCCTTGCAGATTTTTTCTCAATCCAGCCAGACTGACTGGGGAAAAACAAAAAGAGTGGTGATAATGTCATGAATATGTATTTGCTACTCCTCAGCCCACAGAAGGCAGGGAGGAAGATGCCAGAACAGGGGTCAGAATATGGGGCATGGAGTCCAGGTTTGCCATTTACTCTCTGTGTGATTTGGGGCAAAATACCTAAAATGTCTCAGTCTCAAACGCTTCATCCTTTTTTTTTTTTTGACTGCTTTGGGTCTTTGTTGCTGCGCAAGGGCTTTCTCTTGTTGCGGCGAGTTGGAGGTACTCTTTGTTGAGGTGCACGGGCTTCTCATTGCGGTGGCTTCTCTTGTTGTGGAGCACGGGCTCTAGGCGCATGGGCTTCAGTAGTTGTGGCACACAGGCTCAGTAGTTGTGGCTCGTGGGCTCTAGAGAGCAGGCTCAGTAGCTGTGGTGCACGGGCTTAGTTGTTCCGTGGCATGTGGGATCTTCCCAGACCAGGGCTCGAACCCATGTCCCCTGCATTGGCAGGCGGATTCTTATCCACTGCGCCACCAGAGAAGTCCCCAGACGCTTCACCCTTAAAACGACTGAAGTGTCTATAGTTGGGAAGGATTCAAAGAGATAATGAAAATGAAAGTACTTTATACAGTTTAAAAACATCCTGTGCATGTCAGATTTGTATAATTGTTGCTAAGGAAAACATCCTTTGCCAACAGTTTAAAGGCTGCCAACAGCCAAGTAATAACCTTCTGGCTCGAAGGCCAATTCCAAAGGAAAGCTAGTTTCCTCCCTGAAACAGGTTGTAGAAATTTAAGTTTATCGAATTAGTCTTATAATATGGAGTCCAATACCACCCAGGCAGCCCCTGTCTCATTAGGGTGCTCAGCTCAAGATTTCTCCTGGGTGTTTTAGTCTCAAATGCGTAGGTGTCAGTCAGGGTTAGGGGTTGGGGGGAGTTAAGTTACAAAAAAGACTAGGGGCTTCCCTGGTGGCGCAGCGGTTGGGAGTCCGCCTGCCAATGCAGGGGACACGGGTTCGTGCCCTGGTCCAGGAAGATCCCACATGCCGCGGAGCAGCTAAGCCCGTGAGCCACAACTACTGAGCCTGCGCATCTGGAGCCTGTGCTCCGCAGCAAGAGAGGCCGCGACAGTGAGAGGCCCACGCACCGTGATGAAGAGTGGCCCCTGCTTGCCGCAACTAGAGAAAGCCCTCGCACAGAAACGAAGACCCAGCACAGCAAAAATAAATAAATTTATTTTAAAAAGTCTATAAATGCACCTGGAGTATTTACTTAAAACACGTGCGTGCACACACACACACCCCCGATACACTGGGACGAATGTGCACCGTGTGGAGAAAGACATGAGCAGATAGATTTGTGTTGAAAGGCAGAGGCTCAGGAATTTGGTTAACTAGCTCGTCCTCATATCCATTTTATTTTTCTCTTGGGGAGTTTTCTATTTCTGTCAACCACTGTATTTTTGGTGGAGACGCACTGTGGGTAGAGTGTATGTTATTCTTAAACTTAGGGGTCCAGGTGACCTATTGTTTATCAGAGGGAAGGCTTTTCATGAGCAAAGGAAGCAGAGCATGAGAAAACAAACACACTATTGAAATGGCAGCTTCAGCCAAGCTGCAGCTGTGTCTCACAGCGCCCAAAGCTCCAGAGGTTTGTTTAAGGAAACCGAGGCTTCAGCAGGAAATAAGGAGTGTCCTGGGAGCACTAAGATAGGATAAATCTTTGCATCACTGTCGCTCCTCTACGGCCTGAGCAAGGAACCACTGAGTGGAGAGAAGGCATAACCAAGACCCCATGCAGATTCCAGAGTGGAGACGGGCAGAGACAGAGCCAGCAACCTGGGTGTGAGAGCTAAGCGTCCTGCCTTCCGTGCTACCATATTTACAACTTAAGCTGATGGTAATCAAAGGGGGTTCAAGTGAACATAATTTAACCCATTTCTGGTTCCTGTGTGATATTTGTGGAAAGGGTAAATTTATCTGAAAGGCTAAATCTATTCTGTCTTTGAAATCCTAGTTAAGGCTTAAAATATTAGGAAAACAGAAAGTACAATACCCCAAACTGCATAAAAAGTTAATTAAAAATTCTCACCAAGGACTTCCCTGGTGGTCCAGTGGTTACGACTCTGCACTTTCACTGCTGAGGGCCCGGAGTCGATCCCTGGTCAGGGAACTAAAATCCCACAAGCCATGTGATGTGTCCAAAAAAAAAAGAAATTCTCGTCCAGGTTGTTAACCATACAAAAGGAATGAATGCTCAGTATTGAAAACACTGAAAAGTCATTTATTGACTCATTCAACAGATATTTCCTCAGCATCCATTAGGTGTCAAGTCCCAGATATTTAAAAAATGCTTATAAACAACCTGGGGAAAATAGATGATTCCAATAGAGTTTGCTAGGTGTTTTGACACTGGTGGGGTGAGGTGGGGTGTCAGGAAGGAAGACATTTTCTTCTGCCCTTCTAGGTTCTCCTGGTTGGCCTAAGAATTAACTGGCATGAGACAGATGAACAGGAGAAAATCAAGCAGAAGTTTAATAAGATGTATGTACGGCAGAGACCCAGGAGAACTGAGTAACTCACCAAAATGCTCCAAGCCCTCACCTTAAACACCACCTTCAGCTAAAGACAAAAGAGCAGGGATTTGGGACTTGAAAGGGGAGGAAGGCAATTGACATGGAGATGAAAAAGCAAATGTTCCGCAAACAAATGTTTGCTGGGCCAGGCAGAGACAATGGGACACGGAGTGAACTCTGATCTCTAAGCCCTGTTGCGTTTCCCCACCACACCTAGGCCATGTTCTCTGCAGATACCTCTGGAGATAGCTCTATTCTGAGAACTGACCCTTTATCCAAATTCTTTAGTTAGCTAAGAGGGAGGGAAAAAGAGAGACTTCCTGAGTCTTCTGTCTCTTAAAAATAATCAGCCTAGGGACTTCCCTGGTGGTGCAGTGGTTAAGAATCTACCTGCCAATGCAGGGGACACGGGTTCGAGCCCTGGTCCGGGAGGATTCCCCATGCTGCGGAGCAACTAAGCCCATGTGCCACAGCTACTGAGCCTGTGCTGTAGAGCCCGCGAGCTACAGCTACTGAAGCCCACACGCCACAAGTACTGAAGCCCGTGCGCCTAGAGCCCGTGCTCCGCAACAAGAGAAGCCACCGCAATGAGAAGCCCGCGCATGGCAACGAAGACCCAATGCAGCCATAAATTAATTAATTAATTAATTAATAATTTAAAAAATAATCAGCCTAAATTAATCCTTATGCCAAAGAGACACATTTTGGGGTGGCAAATTCTGCTCCCCTATAAGGGAGAGATGAGGTGGGCATGGAGGGGCTGCTGGGGGTTTCCCAGAGGAGAACGGATCAATCCTGGACTAGGGCAGGTCAGCCTGTGACCAGAAAGGGAGCTTGCGTCAGAAGGTAAATCCACACACTGCTTCCTTCATTGAGAAAGAGCAAGAACTGAACTAAACAGTGTGCTCAGTGAGTCAGTCATTTAACATTCTTGTCTCGTCACAAGCCACTAACGGATTGTCCTAGACCAGCAGCTGGTGTGTGGCACTTTTTTTTTTTTATTGGGGCGCATGGGCTCTGTAGTTTGTGGCACGCAGGCTCTAGGTGAGGCACGCGAGCTCAGTAGTTGTGGAATGCGGGCTCAGTTGCCCCGCGGCATGGGGGATCTTAGTTCCCTGACCAGGGATCGAACTCGTGTCCCCTACATCGGAAGGCGGATTCTTTACCACTGGACCACCAGGGAAGTCCCTGTGTGGCACGTATTTTGAGCACTGTAGCAAAGGACGATTAGGAGTTATTCAGGGGAGAGGGAGGAGGGCATCCCACAGAGAGAAGTCTGGGCAGAGCCAGAAGGGCCTCCACAGTAGAACAGCTGCACAGGATTTGGGGGAGGTAAGGGTGAGAGGTCAGAAAGTCCAGCAATTCAGGGGCCAAGCTTGTTTTAAATGAAGGGAGCAGAGGCAGAGAGAAATCTCGGTCCTACCTTCAACGCTGGCTCACACCAGTCTCCTGTGAAGTCTTCCTGGAGAAAACATTCTGCAGAAACTCTGAGAAAAAGGAAGTGTCCACAGGTAGAAACTGCACAACCTAAAAGGTGAGAATTATGTTTTATTTGGTGGACTTGCTGAGAACTTAGGCCTGGGAGACACCCTCTCAGATAGCTGGAGGGATAGCTCCAAAGAGGTCAGGGCGGAGCCAGGATATATAGGGGTTTTTGCAACAAAGACCAGGGAGTCAGAACGTCTGTTAATTGCAGTTAATTAAAGAAAACCAGACATCTCAAGTTAATGAATGTAGTGCTTTTCTCTGTATGGGCAGATGCAAGAGTCTGGGCTCATTGAGATCATTTCTTTGATATGTACCTCAGCTGCTGAGGACAGGTATCCTGTTCTGTCCCATCCTGAGAGCTCTCGGGGTGCACCGTTGGGGCTGGCTGCAGGGGCTGAGGGCTTGATAGCGAGCGGCATCCTTTGTTTGTTGAAGATTTCTTCCTTAGCTTAGCCTTGGAGGCCAAACGCCCCCCTTCCTTCAAGGGAAATCTTACATTTAAGAAGGGAAACAAGATCAAACCCAACAGGGACACCTATGGGCCAGGTTTTGGTCTTCAAAAAATGCAGTTTCTATCTTCTTTGTTGAGTAATCAGTACTGAGGAAGTTTAGCTACTTTACAGAGAAAGAGAGAAGGAGAGAGGGGGAGAGCCGCCTTTGTCCACAGCCCTGGCCTCTGAGACTGGACATCCAGCAACCGTGTGTGCGGAAAGGATGGGGCTCCTGGGGGGCGCTGCCACATGCCTTCCTGACTGTGGCTGGAAGTGCCCTCTTTATGAGTCCTTCCGTTTGAATTATGCATGTTCCCCCTAATAATTACTTTAAAAAAAAATAAATTTATTTTATTTATTTTTGGCTGCGTTGGGTCTTCGTTGCTGCGCGCGGGCTTTCTCTAGTTGCGGCCAGTGGGGGCTCCTCTTCGTTGCGGTGTGTGGGCTTCTCACTGCGGTGGCTTCTCTTGTTGTGGAGCTCGGGCTCTAGGCGCACGGGCTTCAGTAGTTGTGGCTCGTGGGCTTCAGTAGTTGTAGCACGTGGGTTCAGTAGTTGTGGCTCACGGGCTCCAGAGCACAGGCTCAGTAGTTGTGGCGCACGGGCTTAGTGGCTCCGCTGCACTTGGGATCTTCCCGGACCAGGGCTCGAACCCGTGTCCCCTGAATTGGCAGACGGATTCTTATCCACTGCGCCACCAGGGAAGTCCCCTAAAAATTACTTTTTAAAATCCAGAATCTCCCTGGAAAATGATAAAGCTAAGCTTGATTTCATTTTAAATCAAGAGACTGAGTTAAGACTCATTTATTAGCTGCTTTCCTCCAGGAATGAAGAGATTTGCTAGGTGGTTTCACAGGCTCTCTGGGACAGAGGTGGAAAGTTAGCAAGTAAAACACACACACAACAAACTTCACATACTCTACTCTGTGCCCAGAGCCAATGTTGAGAGTGTCCCTGTGACACACCCCTATGACGACTTTGATGCGTGTTTCCCCCCGCCCTCCGAAGCACCTGTGCCTTCTTGGGGTTCACGGAAGTGCTCTTCTCCAGATGCTGCAAATGTGACTCATGTAGGCCCTTTCCGAGAATACTTAGCTCTCAGCTGGTTTCACAGGAAACCTTTCTACTGTTCAGACTTCTAAGAAATAGGACACCAAGTGACTTCCCTTTTTACTCCTGTGTCTCTGGGGAACCGGTGCTCAGGAGGGACAGGCAGGGCTCTGTGATGTTCTGGGGGCACGTGAACTGGAGAATGGGCTTGTCTCCTTCGGGGAGGCCCTTTGCTTCCCACCAGGCCTGGCATGCAAGAGAGAGAATACAGGCGTTTAAAAAAGAGATGTTAGGGCTTCCCTGGTGGCACAGTGGTTGAGAGTCCGCCTGCTGATGCAGGGGACACGGGTTTGTGCCCCGGTCCGGGAACATCCCACATGCCATGAAGCGGCTGGGCCTGTGAGCCATGGCCGCTGAGCCTGCGCTCCTCAATGGGAGAGGCCACATCAGTGAGAGGCCAGCGTACCGGGAAAAAAAAAAAAAAAAAGATGTTATCTATTATAAAATGGACCGTGCTTCAAAGACAGCCCTGCTTTCCAGCCTGGAGGGCACGTGGAAAATGCAGATCCAGAAACGCTGGGATTCCAGGAAGGAATGATACCTTCTTATTTCTTGTTGGATGAAGGAGAACTCCAGGGAGATTGGGTGTTTGCCCATTAAGCTCTCCCAGGGCATTAGAGACCAGCCAGGATGGCAAACCAGGGAGCTGAGCTTTGCCCTCCGGGTGGGGGAGACGAATGGCAGTGTTTTGTTGAAGGCAAAGAAGAGGAAAGTGTGGCATTAGTAACTGTCCCTGAGTTACCTGCTGAGCCATCCAATCATAGGAAGTTAGAGTTTCCAGGCCCTTTCCTCTCCAGTGGGTCAGGCACAACCCTGACAAACAGTTCCTGCTGAGTGGAGCTTGGCTTTCCTGACTAGATCTTTTTCCAGAAATGTCTATGCATATGAAGTATTTTGCAACTAAAAGTTTTCAATAATTTATCCTAAGTGCCAGGCACTGTGATAAATTACTCCCCAAACATTATTATTATTATCATACCCATGTTACAAGTTAGTGTTGGGGCCCCAGGTAGGACACCCCAAAATGTGCCTCATGGCATATTGAGTATTTTGAATTAAAGTGACTTAAGAAGTGGCCAGTGCAAGAGGGACACTCTGATCCTCCTTTCTGTCTCCCTGAAAGCAGGAAATAAATATCTCAGGTGAAAGGTGTACTCCCTGCATCTGGAGATGGAAGGACACCCTTATCACCAGAGATGGCCGAGAAGCCTCTATAAACAAACCTGTGACCTTCTTCAATTGACCCTAAGCCCAAACTCTGTTTGGATTCTTCACTCCTTGGGCACCCAAAACCTCAGTTTTTTTGTCCCCTCAGTTCCTCACAAGTTTATTGTTTCTTTGTCTAAAAAGTATAAAAGCTGTCCTCTTTGGCCGCTTCTTAGGTCCCATTTCTCTGAGACCTCCATGTGCCTGAATTAAAATTCATTTCTTTTTCTCCTGTTCATCTGTCTTGTGTCAATTTTATTATTAGTCCAGCCACAAGAACTCAAGAGGGGTAGAGGGGGAAATGTCCCCTTCTCCGACATGAGGAAATCAAAGCTTTGGAAATTTTAAAGTTGCCCAAGATAAATGAGTGAGTGGTACAAATGGAATTCAGACTCCAGGCTTTTGTTCCAGAAACCACCTGTTTAACCTCTCTGCTCTGCCCCTCAACAAGGAGAACTTCAGACATCCTTCGTCTGCCTTTGGGGCCAGCCCTCCACCGCCAGGGGGATCAGGAGGTCCTTTGAGGATCGTTTCCCTTCCTACACCAAACGAGGCCCTCTGCTCTCAAATAGTTCTCACACCTCAGATCCTGCTGTGGATGGTCAAGAAAGGTACCAATTCTGGAATCCCATCAGACACCCAGCACCTCAGAATTTCCTGGACTTAGGGCTTCAGTACCTTTAACTGGTAATCGCTCCACTTTTGGTTCATGGTGAAATCTGTAAACACATGAGGAATTCTAAAATTCAATGTATGTTGTTGATCCCACAGCTGTGTCCTTTTCCAGCCTTCCCCAAACCAAAGAACATTCTTTTAAAAATTTAGAAGTAATGGCTTTTTCTCTCTCTCTCGCTTTTTTTTTAAAAAAAGCCTAATATCTTCCTTCTAATTGATAGAAATTATTGTTACAACAACCTGGTAGAATGGAAAGAGCTCCAGATTAGGAGACAAGAGGCCTGAGTTCTGTCCCCTGCTCGGCACCAACACACCTCTGGACTCACGGCCTGTTGCTTAGATGCTCATGAGGCCCCATTTTGTCACCTGTATAATTTGAGGGATGGATTAGATGAATCCGCAGCGTCTTTTCAGCTGGACCATTCTACCATCATAAACATCAATTATCAAACAGCATTTTAAGGGTCTGATAAGCATACGTCTATCAGGTGATAAATGTCCTGTTGGCTTGATGGTAGCCATATTCCCTCTGAGGATCCATTGTATGCTAGCTAGGAGGGTTTTTTCCTCTCCCAGAACACCTCAGCTTGCTTCTCCAAGCTGACAAGAAGAAAAAGCACACACAATGAGTAGCTAATGCATACCAGGCACTGTATTAGGCTCATGACATGCAGTATGTCCTCACGTCAAAGGTGAGGGCTAGAGACGATCAGCTCTACTATATTCACTTGTTTAAGAACTATTTCCTGGTGGGAATGTAAATTGATACAGCCACTATGGGAACAGTGCGGAGGTTCCTTAAAAAACTAAAAACAGAACTACCATATGACCCAGCAATCCCACTACTGGGCATATACCCTGAGAAAACCATAATTCAAAAAGACACATGCACCCCCAATGTTCATTGCAGCTCTATTTACAATAGCCAGGACATGGAATCAACCTAAGTGCCCATTGACAGATGAATGGATAAAGAAGATGTGGCACATATATACAATGGAATATTACTCAACCTTAAAAAGAAACAAAATTGAATTATTTGTAGTGAGGTGGATGGACCTAGAGTCTGTCCTACAGAGTGAAGTAAGTCAGAAAGAGAAAAACAAATACCGTATGCTAACACATATATATGGAATCTAAAGAAAAAAAATGGTTTTGAAGAACCTAGGGGCAGGACAGGAATAAAGACGCAGACGTAGAGAATGGACTTGAGGACATGGGGAGGGGGAAGGGTAAGCTGGGACGAAGTGAGAGAGTGGCATGGACATATATACACTACCAAATGTAAAATAGATAGCTAGTGGGAAGCAGCTGCATAGCACAGGGAGATCAGCTCGGTGCTTTGTGACCACCTAGAGAGGTGGGATAGGGAGGGTGGGAGGGTGGGAGGGAGGGAGACGCAAGAGGGGGGAGATATGGGGGTATATGTATACGTATAGCTGATTCACTTTGTTATAAAACAGAAACTAACACACCATTGTAAAGCAATTATACTCTAATAAAGGTGTTAAAAAAAAAAGAAAAAAAGATAAAGCAAAAAAAAAGAAGAAATATTTCCTGAGAGCATCCAACAACATGCTGATGTTGTTTTAGGTTCCAGAGACACAACAGTAAATGAGAGGAACCAAACTATGACATTATATACACATCAATTTATTCCACAAATACTTATCAAATACCTACCATATGTCAAAAACTCTGCTAGTCGCTGGAGACACCAGAATGAGCAAAACTCTGACCTCATCACGTTGACAGCTCAGCAGACTAATGAAAGGACAACAATGATAATGTAAGAGTGCTCTGGAAACACCAAAGAGATAGATAATAGAGAGAAATGTACCTCTACCATCATCTGGTCCAAACATGAGTTAATCAATATACTTTGAAATTACAAATATGAAATGATCTCTTTGCTTGTTTAGTCAAGTACAGGATTCCACCACTTATCTGGCTACTTTTAGAACGTAAACTTAGGTAAATAGTAATATCTATAGCATCTCCACCTGTATATCTTCATTTTTCTCCCTCTTCCGTTATAAATGAAATCACTTTTGTTCTCAATACTATTCACCTCCTTTTGTGAGAAAGCCCTGATACACTCATTGTTCAAGGCCCATTCTTCAAGACATTGGATTCCAAACAGCCTTGGGTCCTCATCAACACAGCTTACCATGAATTCTCCATAGGCAGCAAGGTCATGAACAGAGCAACATTCTTCTTGATTCAGCTCAGTTTGAAACTACTGGAAAGTCATCATCCCACTTTACACTCTCTTCAGGGACCCTCAGTCCCTGGCTACAATGATGGATCAGATCTGGGAAGTGAGTGAAAGCTTTGCAGAAAAGTGAATCCTTAAGCTGGCTCTTGAGGGATGT